TGCGCTGGCGTCTACAGTTTTCTTCTTGGGAATGTCATTCAGTATCGTGAAATAAGTTTTCGAAGGCGATGACCGCTGAGTATATCGGCCATAATATTGAGAAATTTCGAGGGCACCTCTGGTGCTGACGTTTCGTCAATCGGCCTTGCACTACTAGCATAGGAGACCAGGGGGGGGGTAGGGAAGCTTATCTATTTTATGGATACCACCAGTCGGATGGCCCGGCTGACCGATTTGTTTGATGTTTTATCCTAATATTTCATAGAATCATGTAACTAGAAGGTTAGATAATAAAGCTGTACTATCTGTGTACTGTATCACCCCCACTTCGAAACCACCAAAACACCATTGGACCTTGATGCATTTTAAACACTGAGCATGGAGCAGGGCCTTTAAAATCACTTTCATTGGTCCTATTCATTGCAGTCTTCAGCGATCTCTGAATACAGTATCGAAAGATCTAGCACTCACTCGTACTCCTTGACACGTCCATACTACGAGTTACGTCCATACTACGACTTATTTTCATCGAGGGTGAAGGTGACCGTGACACCGTTGCTTCATTCTCCATTGTATCATCTTTCATATGTTCTTCTTTGCTAACAGCTTCTTTGGATTCCTCTTCTGCTTCTTTACGCTTCCTCGCATTTCTTTGCCGTGCCCTTTCTGCTCTGATGACTGCCTCAAATAATTCTCTTCGAAACTTCATAAAACATCTCAAGATTATCATCTATTGCCTAGTTTAATTCCCTACCTTCACCGCTTCTTCAGACTCCTCTTGACCGTCTGAAAAAAAGATCGCATCCAAAAGCTGTGAAAAACATTAAGCAGTCCTCGCCAGAGGGCTGACAATGAGATAAGTCCATTTACAGTATCAATGAATTTTCTATCGCAAATGAGACTGTCAATGGCAAGGGATTGAAGACATAGTTCGCGATAGTCGAGAATGGACAAATGGGCGGAGAGTCGCAACCAATGACAATGAGTCCTCTCACTGACATACCTCTGCTCTTCACACTATTGAAAGGGTAGTTGCAGCAGTGAGAAAGGCACAATAGTTGTAGGTCTCCGCCCGTTTCCCCGCCCATACACTTTTCGCGGAATGTGCCTTCAACCACCATGTATTGTAGAACTCAGACTCGCAAGCATCTTCTGGAGGTACAATTTCCTTCAACTGAAAAGTGTTAGTGAACTACCTCTTGCTTTTTGCTGTGAAGCTCCCGATGTATCTGTCATCTTCTTCCTTTTATTCTGAAAAGAGGGTGCTTTGTGGTGTTGGTCATTTCAAGGGATCATCGTTCGTAAGGGGTTAAATTATCGTTCGTAACGGGTCAGGTCGTCAGGAAGCCTAGTTCTGTAATTTTCCCTTTGCGTTTGGAACCGGATCAGACTTCGCGAGTGGACCCCTTCTGACGGGGAGAATGACCAAGGTCCCAGTTCTCATTCCCTTCGTAACTCTTACTCGCAGCCTATTCGCTCGCCCTTAATCTCTTCATTTTTACAGTGCTATTTGCTATTTTTCTAATTTAGTTGCATAGGTTTGTGGGACATCCGAATCGTGCAGTCGTCTACTCCATATTTAAATAACGCTCTCCAGATGGCATTGAATTCGATAGTGTCGAATGCTTTTCGATAATCAACGA